ACAACTCTAAATGTGGTGAATACAACTTCGTCCCCCTTTCTAGTCAAGGATACCCGATAGGTTCCCTGGAGTTATGCGGTCAACGTATCAATACCAGAGGGCTCTAAGATGTCTGAAAGAACAAACGAGGAAAATAAATTGAGTTTAGATGAAGTAAGTGAGATGGGCCACTTCACAAGAAGCAGAAGATGCTACTCACCAGAAACATCCACCGAGGAAGACAAGGGAAAGGCCAAAGCCAAAACTGTGGTAGTGCCAAAAATTTTCAATGAAGAGCCACCACCAATCATTCACGAGCCTGTGACTGAAGCTCAAGGTCATGAATTCTTGAGGTTTCTAAAGCACAATGAATACAATATAATGGAGAAGCTTCACAAACAGTATATGAAATCTCAATCTTGGATCTTTTGATAAACTCCGAAGTACATCGGAACGCCTTGCTAAAGGTGCTTAACCAAACATTTATCCCTAAGGATATCTCAACAAATAAGTTGGACCGAATTGTGGGATAATAGCTGCTGACAACTACATTACCTTCACTGATGATGAGATACCGGAAGGAGGGATGTGATCCCGGAAGGAGGGATGTGATCCATTAAGGCTTTAAATATCATAGTACACTACCATGGACATGTCCTGCTAGGAGTTCTTATAGATAATGGGTCGGTACTGAACGTAATGCCTTTAGCTACACTACAAAGGATACTCATTGATAGCTCACACATGAGAGCTTATCATAACATCATTAAGGCATTTGACATAACCCAGAATGATGTAATGGGAAAGATGGAAATACCCCTGATGATCAGGCCTGCTATTTACAACATCAATTTTATGATAATAGACATCCACTAGACATACAACTGTTTGCTAGGGAGACCTTGGATCCACGCAGCAGGGGCAGTGCCTTCATCCTTACATAAAAGCTGAAATTTGTAATTGATGGAAGGTTGGTCAGCATCAGAGCTGAACAAGAGATCATAACTTATGTGATGTCTGATACCCCATACATCGACGTCAAGAATGATGCCTTAGAATGCTCCTTCAGGGCTTTAGAATTTATCAACGCAACCTATGTGGCTGAAGGAAACAGAATTCCCCACCCCGCACTGTCATATTGTACTAAGATGACAGTGAAGCAAACCCTAGGAAGAGGAGCGAGAACTGGAAAAGGACTGGGAAAAGATCTTCTAGGGCAAGTACGACCCATAATTGTTGAATGGAAGAGAGACTGTTTCGGGCTCGGGTTTAAGCCCACCTTCCAGCAGTGTGGCCAAGAGCTGAAGAAGAGGGCTGGGGTAAAGAAAGCAAGATTAAGTGGAGAGGACGTCCCTAGAGAACGTATGTTTTTCCCTCCTTTGAAGAGATCTTTCAAATTCGGAGGAGTGTACGATGTTGATCAAGAACTGGCCAACACCATCGAAACCGAAAGGCTGGCAAAAGAACAAGAGTGGATGGGCAAGGCTCTGAGGGGACTATCAATCAACATGATTTCTGGGTTCAACCAACCCGGGAAGTTTCTAGCTAGAATTCGTTCATGCTTACCTAGTGAAAATCTCAACAATTGGACAGCCGAGGACCTCCCCGTAGTTTTTAGGGTCAATCCAAATTAATGCCCAAAAATAATTTGTATTAGCATCTAAAAAAATATATGTTGAACTTTTTGTAAAACTTCACGCTTATCTCATTAATCAATTAAAGACATTTTTCTCAAATGGCAATCATTTCATTATTCGTATTATTTCATTACATTCGTTACATCATATTTTTATTTATTCTTTATTCTTTAAATCTCTAAATTCTTCGTATTTTTCATTACATCGTATTCTTTGTTCTTTACTTTCTAATATATCTGAGTCAAATTGCATACAGATGTCACAATAATACTAGCATAATTGTTCTTGAGGCCAGTTGCAAGACAGATTTTGAGCGACCACTATGTATGGAAGAAGTTAATAAATGTGAAGACGAAGAAGATGTAAAGTCCCTAGTGAGCTATTAATATTAGTGGACAGAGATTATAAACAGATCCTACCCTACAAGGAAGAATTAGAACTTGTAAATTTAGGGATCGTAGAAGTATAGAGAGAAATAAATATTGACACTACTCTATCCGTAAAAATAAAGCTAGAGTTGATAAGTTTGCTCCATGAGTTCAAAGACGTCTTTGCTTGGTCGTATCAAGATATGGCAGGGCTAAGTACTAATATAGTAGTCCATACGTTGCCCATTAAACCAGAATGCAAATCAGTCTAACACAAACTCAGAAGGATGAAACCAAAGATGTTATTAAAGATTAAAGAAGATGTAACAAAATAAATCGATGTAGGTTTTCTTCGGGAGGCAAAATATCCTGAGTGGGTAGCCAATATAGTGCTTGTACCTAAGAATGATGGGAAGGTCCGCATGTGCATAGATTATCGAGACCTTAATAAGTCTAACCCAAAGGACAATTTCCCTTACCTCATATAGACACCCTGGTGGATAACACTACGGGGCATTCATGGTTTTTCTTCATGGATGGCTTCTCAGGATACAATCAGATCAAAATAAACCCTGAGGAGACACTCGAGCTTTGCTTTGCCACCCCCAACAGATTTAATGGTCCTATGTACTCGTTCTTCGCGAAACATTCAAGCAACGAAATTCACACGTCGAGATTCGGAGAAAGCTAATAGAAATAGTAGTTGCTCTTGTTGTTGGTCCTGACCAATTCCCTGCTAGTCTTGCCTAGTCTCCAGGGGTAAGTTGTGTCTAGCCTCTGTCCCAGAGGGTAACATCATATTGTTAGTACGAGTGCCCTGTGGGTTATCTGTATCTATTAACCCCTCCTCTGAGTCAGTTGCATTCCCTGTGGTGTGAGTTGTAATTGGATTCTTTAAGGCAAAAGAGATATTTGAAGTTCATGCAATTGAACTACTTTGATTGACCTTGTGAGGCAATGATTGCCATGTATGGCCTATGGACACCTATACATGTGATTGTATACAATGATGACCGGTGGATAACCATGATATTTGACTTGACTGCTATGGTGACACTAAGTCAATACTATGTATTTCGAGTGAGAATTATATCGAGATATATGTGACACTTGATTCCGCTCTATTATCTTTATTCGATAACTATAGTCATAATGATTGAGAGATGATTGTTATTTTTATCATTAATTTGATGTTATTTTCCCTTCACGTATGTTTTCATTAAGAGAGAGATAACTAGAATGATGGCTACACTAATTAATTATGAACTTAATTGATAAAACATTGGTATTTAATGCCTAGAAGGATGCCTAGACTAATTATGAACTTAATTGATATAACACTGATATTTTGAAGGTTGATATTTAATGCTCATTGTAAATTTGATTGATACAATATTAATACGTTTAATAGTCAGGTAACATTTAAGTCAGTTGCATCTTCGAAATTTTTTGCAAAGTTTATCAAGTCATTACTCCTATTAGAGCTTGATGTTATATTAAAATATGGGTTTACTTTAATATCAAAATTTTTATTTTTATTTTATTTATTAACATATAATAGGATTTTTTATCTAAGTTTTCTATTAATATTTGTGTGCCGCCTTCCCCCTTCCTTTTTATTTTTGTTTAGCCGACGGCAGTACTAATCTTATAATCGGTTGCCGACTGTCAATAATTATTATTTTTCTTGTTCTTTTTCATGCTATGTTCTTTGTTTTTCTTGTTTTTTTTTCTTGAGTTTTTTTTCAATTTAATTTAAATAAGAATTTGTTTTTGTGATACGTTTTCCTCTGCTCTCGTAGCACGTTCCTTATGATTTTTGATACGTTTTTCGCATATAACTATGGTCGTGTTAGTGCTCTCACAAATATCCTCATGCCCTTTGTTTTCTGATTGGTTTGTCAGTGGTCACATATTGTCAGATCCCCTCCTCGGTAAAAGGTTGTTTGTCGATATAATCAAAATTGTGTAGCGAAATAGCCTGCCAAATTGTTTGGTTCAGTCACCACTCTTTTATCACTTCGTAAAACGTCTCTTTTGACAGAGACAATGAGTTTTATGAAGGTTATTAGGTTCTTTTGATGTTGGACATCATTCTCAATGGAAGGTTTTGCTTTTCTTCATATCTTTGGGTTTTATATTTTTATTTTATGTATAAATTTTTGTGACTATTGTCCCATTTTTTGCTCTATATTCGAGTGCATTGTTATTTTGATTCATCCCATTATTTTAATTAATGAAATCTAGTCGACATTAATAAAAAATTATTAACATATTTATTGTCAAAAAAATTTAGGCCCAAAATCTGTTCATCAGGACCATATCCATACAACAAGAGATATCCAAATCCATTCTCTCCTCTCATCCTATATTCCAGTTTCATTGTACCTTAACCGATTCCTTAAACCATATTTGATTTAAGTGTCACACGGTTTATCAAAGGGATTAATTTTTTTTCTTTGAAAACCATTTATTCAACATTTTAAAATAATTAAGCAAATATGAAAAAGTATAACCTCTATATATTCATTGAATCGTCATCATTGTACTCTATTACTTTATATTAACGAATTAAAAAAATATAAATTAATGAATATAAATATTTATTTAATTAGAGACTTAAATCAGATAATCTCTCTCTTAAAAATTTCTCATTTTTTCATTAAAAAATCATTTATCATCTATTCTTCTTCCTTGAAAACTCTGTAATCTGCCATCAATGTCAATAGTCCTTTCAGAGGAGTCATCATAAGCAATTAAAATTATAAATCATCATAAGCAATTAAAATTATAAACATCATAGAAATATTCATTCGATTATTTAATTTTTTTCCTAATAATATAATCGAACGTGACTCTTATTTATCTTTTTGTTCAATTAAAATATAATATCTACAATTTGCTATTTAATATTGGTTAGGTGATACTTATTTAAGGATATTATTATATTTCTTTAATTTTTAATGATATCTTCCTTCCTATATATATGTGTGCGTGGTAGAACGGATATCGCAGTCAAGCTATCCTTGAAAAGCTATTTGGTTTTCTTTGCAATCATGAAATCTACTCTTGTATTCTTCGCTTTCCTCTGCATACTTTTGGTACATTTTCTTTTTCCTCGTTTTACATTCCTTAAACATTTATGTTTGAAAAACAAGTAATTAATAGTCCATGCAGTGGTTTTAGTTATAAAAGTAGGGATGTGTATGTGACTCAAATTTAACAGGTTTCAACTTGACCCGATTTTGTTAGGTCAGATTTAAAAAAAAAATTAATTTTGAATCGGATCGAGTTTAAGTTTATTGTGAACAATAATTGATTTTAAAAATAATGTAATAATATCTTATATATTTAGGGAAAGTTATAATAATATCTCCCTTTATATATTTTTTTCAATTAGATTCCTATTATATCAAATAAAACTAATAATTTTTATAAATATATTTATTTCGGATCAGGTGAAATCACCTTAAACTCAAGTCAGGTCAGGTTTCGGGTAGTGAGTGCATACTTTTTGGGTCGAATTGGGTTGGCCGAAAACCTAACCCGACCCATACCCATTCTTAAGTAAAAAAGATTGTTGTTTTATTTAGAGATCCTGATTTTGAATAGTTACATTTATAGAATATATGTGTTTATCAGAGATCCAGTACCTTTGAAAATAATATTTTTTCATTTACTAGTGACATTCCTTGATTAGTTTTATTTTTTTTACTTTGACTCATTTAATAAAATGTGTACTTTTTATGATAAAATAGTTAAATTAATACAAAGTAGTATTTGATAAATAAAAAGTTAAATTTAAATTACTATACTATCCACGTACAACTTAACATCTTAATATCTCATTTTTATAATGAATATAAATTTAGTCAAAATTAAAGTAAAATAATTACAATATCAAATATTGATAAAACTCATGATTAAAAACTCTCAATTGCTTAATTATTATGCAGTTTACTAAGACAATCGCAGCAAGAAAAGCACCAGGCGAAGAATGTAATGATGAAACGAAGGAAAAGTTTCAGACAGAAACAACTAAAGAAGCAAAACAACAATATGTTATAAATCAAATTCCTCTTTTCTATTATCCAAAGAATGTTGGTAAGTTTTAGTAACAACTAAAAATGAATAAATCTTTTGTTACAAATTTAAATTTCGATCGGTCTATAATTCTTCTATTTTCTCTCTTATAAAAAGATGGTCAGGAAATGGACAATGCAGGAAAAGAACTTGCTATAAACCAAATTCCTCTTTTATACTATCCAAAGAAAGATGGTAAGTTTCAGTAGCATGTAAAAATGAATAAATCTTTTGTTACAAATTTAAACTTTGATCTGTCTATAATTCTTCTATTTTATCTCTTATAAAAAGATGGTCAGGAAATGGACAAAGCAAGAAAAGAATCAGTTATAAACCAAATTCCTCTTTTGTACTATCCAAAGAAAGTTGGTAAGTTTCAGTAACATGTAAAAATGAATAAATCTTTTGTTACAAATTTAAATTTTGATCGGTCTATAATTCTTTTATTTTATCTCCTATAAAAAGATGGTCAGGAAATGGACAATGCAGGAAAAGAATCTGATATAAATCAAATTCCTCTTTTCTACTATCCAAAGAAAGTTGGTAAGTTTCAGTAACATGTAAAAATGAATAAATCTTTTGTTACAAATTTAAATTTTGATCAGTCTATAATTTTTATTTTATCTCTTATAAAAAGATGGTCAGGAAATGGACAATGCAGGAAGAGAATCTGTTATAAACCAAATTCCTCTTTTTTACTACCCAAAGAAAGTTGGTAAGTTTCAGTAACATGTAAAAATGAATAAATCTTTTCTTACAAATTTAAATTTTGATCAGTCTATAATTCTTCTATTTTATCTCTTATAAAAAGATGGTCAGGAAATGGACAATGCGGGAAAAGAATTTGTTATAAACCAAATTCCTCTTTTCTACTATCCAAAAAAAGTTGGTAAGTTTCAGTAACATGTAAAAATGAATAAATCTTTTGTTACAAATTTAAACTTTGATCGGTCTATAATTCTTCTATTTTATCTCTTATAAAAAGATGGTCAGAAAATGGACAAAGCAGGAAAAGAATCAGTTATAAACCAAATTCCTCTTTTGTACTATCCAAAGAAAGTTGGTAAGTTTCAGTAACATGTAAAATTGAATAAATCTTTTGTTACAAATTTAAATTTTGATCGGTCTATAATTGTTCTATTTTATCTCTTATAAAAAGATGGTCAGGAAATGGACAATGCAAGAAAAGAATCTGTTATAAACCAAATTCCTCTTTTGTACTATCCAAAGAAAGTTGGTAAGTTTCAGTAACATGTAAAAATGAATAAATCTTTTGTTACAAATTTAAATTTTGATCGGTCTATAATTCTTTTATTTTATCTCTTATAAAAAGATGGTCAGAAAATGGACAATGCAGGAAAAGAATCTGATATAAATCAAATTCCTCTTTTCTACTATCCAAAGAAAGTTGGTAAGTTTCAGGAACATGTAAAAATGGATAAATCTTTTATTATAAATTTAAATTTTGATCGGTCTATAATTCTTTTATTTTATCTCCTATAAAAAGATGGTCAGGAAATGGACAATGCAGGAAAAGAATCTGATATAAATCAAATTCCTCTTTTCTACTATCCAAAGAAAGTTGGTAAGTTTCAGTAACATGTAAAAATGAATAAATCTTTTGTTACAAATTTAAATTTTGATCGGTCTATAATTCTTTTTTATCTCTTATAAAAAGATGGTCAGAAAATGGAAAAAGTAGGAAAAGAATCAGTTATAAACCAAATTCCTCTTTTGTACTATCCAAAGAAAGTTGGTAAGTTGCAGTAACATGTAAAAATGAATAAATTTTTTATTACAAATTTAAATTTTGATCGGTCTATAATTATTCTATTTTATCTCTTATAAAAAGATGGCCAGCAAATGGACAATGCAATAAAAGAATCTGTTATAAACCAAGTTCCTCTTGTCTACTATCCAAAGAAAGTTGGTAAGTTTCAGTAACATGTAAAAATGAATAAATCTTTTGTTACAAATTTAAATTTTGATTGGTCTATAATTCTTTTATTTTATTTCTTGTAAAAAGATCAAAAATTAGGGAATAGAGGGCAAGAATCTATTAGGAATCAAATTCCTATAATATACTATCAAAAGAAAAATGATAAAAATCAATAACATGAATTGATAAATTTTTTGTGACGGATTTTAATTTGAATCAATATGTGAATTAAAGAAGTTTATTGTTGACTTTCAGGTTCAGCTTGAAGACTATATTTATCAAAAGAGAAGTAATCGTTTAATAAAATATTGGGCTTTCAAGGAAGATGAATCTTATGTATTCAAAATAATATCTGTGCTGTATTTATATTATGTGTGTTTGGGTTGTTCTACTCGTTGCAAGTAGAAATCCTTTATGTTCTAATAAATGTGTAAGATATGTGTTAGGCGTGCTTCCACTCGTAATCCTAAAAAATCCATTATGTTGTAATATTTGTTTAGCTTAATATATACTTTAGCCCCTTTATTTTAAAGAAGTTATCATTTAACTGTTTTCTTTCAATTTGTTTAGCCCCTCGACTTTCATTCCATTTACATCATTGTTCCTTTGAAATATTTCGTTCATGTGACGTAATCAGTTCTTACTTTTGTAAAAAATTAAAAAGAAAAAACTTTAAAATTCTAAAAAATTCATTACAAATGAAAAACTGTAAATTGTTCCTAAAAATCCACAATTTTTTTTTAAAACTTCTTTTTTTCTCTCTCAAAATTATATATATATTCCCATTGCGAACTCGTAATCAACAATGACATTGGGTGTGGGTCCCATTATGTGGGAGAACCCATCACCGGTTAAACCCAAATAAAAGCTATTTGGGCTTTGCCTAAGAAGGTGAGAGGGCAGCTATATTCGGCAGGAATAAAAAATTAAATAGAAATTATTAGAATTATTAAAAAGTAAAAATATCTAAAATTATAATAAGGGTTTATAACTATTATCTTAAATTAATTATATAATTTATATATTTTCCTATAAAATTGAAATTAGTAACTTTAGATTATATAAGCATCATACATGAGAAAGATTAAAAACCTAAGCAAAAGACTACTGCAAAAGGAGATTAAATTATTGAAAGACTGTCGAGAATCACAAATCAAAGTAGAGCGTCCTAAGAAACTATCCACGAACGCAAAAGCGTGTATACAAATTCAATCTGAGAGTCAATAGCAGGGAAAATCAACATTATTACAAATAAGCACAATCTTGATCACTCGTAGCGTCGTCAAATCCAACTCTGAGAAAACATAAAATAAAAAGAACGGTCAGAAGATCGAGAAAGAAAATGAAAAATGCCACAAAGACATAATTATTCTTATTAAAAAATTAAAAAATAGAGAGAAGAGAACCGATGATCAACAATCATAATGAAAATTATTATCGACGTAGATTAAATAAAATAAAATAAAATAAAATATTAATATAATCTATAAAAAACGATATAAACTCTAAAAGAAAAAAAAAGGAAAAAGGAGAGAGATCGGCTAAGGTTTCTCATCTTGTAGCGAAAAAATTTTGAAAAAGAGGGGAATCTCGAGAAAATATCCGGAGAGGAAAATAATTTTTGAAACTTTGGGTTTAATTTATTCTAAAATATAAAAAAAATTTCTAATTTTTTAAAAAATTAGAAAAATATTTAAATTCCACTAGATATAATTTTTATGTATCATATAAAAATGATATCTCAAAAAAATTATTAAAATTTAACGATTAAAACTGATATAAAATTTGAATTAATTTAATTTTTCAAATAAAAAATTTAACTAGATGCAAAAAAAATATTTTGAGTTGTATTTTGTGGATCAACTCTTCGTTTACATTATGTTGTCAAACCAGTATTTGAAACATTATAATGTCGAGCTAGTACTTAAAAGCAACTACGGTGCCAATAGACATTGTGAAAATATGATTTTATCATACCCAAATCAGCATGTTAACTTCCAACTTAAATTGTCGTCAATTTTTTAACAGAAAATGACGAGTTTGAAACATATAACTAGTCGAGTGACCATTTTGTAACTTTTAATAGTCAATGGACTCAACAAAACAACGTCTTATTGTCGGGGATCATTTTATAACTTTTAATAGTTGGAAGAATCAACAAAGTGACATTCTATAGTCGAGTGACCATTTTTATGTTTTACCCTAAAAAGAAATTATTAATTGACTAATAGTCAACACATTTTATAGATGTGACATTTCTTTATATATTGAATTACTACATTTCCTTACGTATTGAATTACTAACGTGTTAAAGTGTTTCGTAAAAAGATGACATGACATGTACTAAAGATAATGGTTACCTTATGAATTGCTCGAGATCTTAATATCAAATATTATCTTTGATTGTCGTACTAAGCTTAAAATCAATAAGTTTTTGACATTATATTTTCAAATTTCATGTTGTTTATACATGAGTTTTTTTAATATTTAAATATAGGGTAAAATATACAATTGGTCCTCCGACTATAGGGTGATGTTTTGTTGAGTCCATCGACTATTAAAAGTTACAAAATGATCATTCGATAATAGGGCGTTGATTTGTTAAGTCCCTTGACTATTAAAAGTTACAAAATAGTCACTCGACTATTTAGTATGTTCCAAACTCGTCATTTTTCGTTAAAAATTTAACAAGAATTAGAGTTGAATGTTAACCTATTGACTGAGATAAGATAGTAATTTTAGATTTTAGGATCAAATTTTATCATATGTCATTCATCAGTTTAACGTCCAACTCAGACTATTGTCAATTTTTTAACGAAAAATAACGAGTTTGGAACATACTAAATAGTTGGGTGACTATTTTGTAACTTTTAATAGTCGGGAGACTCAACAAAATAACATCCTATAGTTGAAGGACTATTTTGTAACTTTTAATAATCGAGAGGCTCAACAAAACATCATTCTATAGTCAATGGACTGTTTGTGTACTTTATCCTTAAATATTATATTCTAAATATATACTCATTAAATGATTGAAATAAATATATATACATGTATTATCGTCGTGCTAGTGTAAATACGTATATTGACACGTACCATACACATTATTTAATTTCAAATATTTTATCACGTGTAATTAAAATTTATCACGTATTAGAACCTATTTTATTTTTAAATAAGCTTTAAATGTAAAATAAAATTAATAAATTTAATATAAACTACTATGGGTTTGAGAAACTTTATAACAGCTTTCTATCGTTTACAGTCAATATTAATTAAGATGGGCACTGAAAATTATAATGTCAGTGTTTGTTATCCCCGAGGAGAGGGGAAATTATAATATTTTCTTAATCGTGCTAAATAAATAAAGATGGGCGCGGAGAGTTACAAGTAATTATAGTTTGAGAAAATAACCTTAGTGATCGAAAAAATTTTATAATATATAATTTTGACTATTTTTTTTTTGATTTATAAAATGACCAACAAAATCGTAATGCGATTTCTAAATCGCAACGCGATCTCCATTATCGCAAATTAGTTTCCAGATTCGCAACGCGATTTTAACTATCACATTGCGATTTTAGAAAATCGTAATGCGAATATGTAAATCGCAACGCGATAATACATAATCGCAACGCGATTCTGACTATCGCATTACTGAATTTCAAATTCGCAACAGGTTTTAGTTTCGCAACACAAATGTTTTGGGTATATAACTATGCAGCAGCAACAACTCATAACCTAAATCCCTAAATCGCAACTCATTCCATCTCCATCTATCACTCTCTCCGGCGACATCCGTTCCTATATCCAACGACATCCTTCCCCATCCGGCAACATGTTTTAGTTTCGCAGCTCGTTTGTTTAGTAAATTAATTTACAATAATGAAATCATCTAATGTTGATCATGTTTGGATAGATTTGTGTTTTAGAGGGTCATGGGAGAATGTTCATGGTGTTTTACAATATATGTCTTTACCCATAAATCTTCAACTAAAACTGTCATTAAAAAAGTTAACTTATGAAACTCTAATGTTACGTGTTGCAAATAAATTGAATTTAGAGCCCCTAAGTGGATTTAGGCTATCTTATCAGAGAAAAGGTAAAGTTTATTTGTTAACCGACAATGAAGATGTTGAACGATTCATTGCTTACATTAGTGTTTCGCAAGATGATGTTACATTGTATGTTGTTGAACCTAGAAGTAGGGAAGTTGGGTCAGTAGCGGGTAGTAATCAACTGAGTTTTTCAACCCCAGTTTATGGTGCTCAAAATTTAATGGTTCCACCACAATTTCATCACCAAGCAAATTTTGTTTCACCACATTTCCAATGCCAAACACAATCTCAAAACCCACAACCTTTCCCTAATCCAAATCCCAATCAACTTTCAGCACCAAATTTCGGTTTTCGTATTGACCAGTTAGACGATGATGAGCCAACAGAAAAAATTATGAGTACTAGTCAGTATTCGAAATTTGATCTTGGTCAATACCCGGACTTTGATCTTGGTCAATACTCAGATTTTGATGATGTTTCAGAAGAAGAAACAGATCCTGCGTGTAATGATTTTGATATTGGTCAATACCCGAATTTTGATGATGAAACAGCCGCTGCCGAGGAAGATGTTGTTGATGATAATGAGGAGGAAGTTACGACTGTGAATGAACATATTAAACATCCATTCTGTAAATCATATAACCCTGAAGAAGAAAAAGAAGAAGAAGAAATCCCCGAAGAAAAGTCCTCGAAGAAAATGCCACGGGAGTATAACTGGAATATGCCAGAATTACTTCAGATACCGGAAGAAGAGTTGGTAAAGATAGCAGTTGATTGTTACACAAAAATTATTCGTATCAAGAAAGATGATTGTTTTGATACAAAGGAAGACTTGAAGATAGCTTTGTATACGAAATGTGTGGAAGATGGCTATCAACTAAAAGTTAACAAATCAAGCAAAGATCGTTTCGAAATAAGGTGTATGATTGACAAAAACTGTACGTGGCGTATGATTGCAAAGAGGATAAAAGATTGCGAAATGTTTCAAGTTAGGACTTTTATTGATAAACATACATGTTCAAGAACTCAAGTTTTTCCTCACCATAGACAGGCAAACAAAAAGGTGTTGGGTGGTTTTCTGGCTGAGTTAATGTTTTTGAATAGATAAGGGTATATCGGGGACATGAAATTATGACTGACATGAATGCTCGGTTCAAGATTAGTATCTCATATTCTCAAGCTTGGAGAGCCAAATGTTATGCCTTGGAATTGTTGAGGGGGTCGCCAGAAGCATCGTTTGCCCAACTGTCGGCTTATTGTCACAATTTAAAGCTGAAAAATCCTGGGTCGGTAACTCATATCAAAACAGATAGAGATGGACGCTTTGAGTTGCTGTTTATCGCCATTGGTGCTGCGGTTAGTAAATCAATATAATTTTGTTGACTCATTTTTGTTAGTTACATGCATTTCACATTTAAATGATTATATTTCTTGTGTATATTATTTTGTAGATTCGTTCTTTTATTA